ATGTGAAGGCAAATAAGTGGTTAAGGTAGGAATCATCACCTCTAGTGTTTTAAAGGACATATCCTATGAGTTCTTAGTTAACATCAGCTTATTGAAGTCTTTGGCCAAGGCGACATGGAGATTATGAAAAAAGGTTTTATAACTCTCTATAAAACTAATGTTATAATTGCAGGAACGAATATGGCAGCCAATAAGAGTGGACATTGTACCAAGCTTTTATCATCTCCGGGATATATGATGAGAGAATGAATTATAATTATAGATTGTACACTAAAAGGTTGTCAAAGAACCTTTTAACTCTCATAACAATTGGGTGGCCATGATGCATTGCTAGATGCCAATCTTGGTCTATGGAATTGATTATAAATTAATTGATTAAAATTTATATTAATCAATTAAGTCATCAATCAATTTCATTACCAACATGTTAAGAATCTAATGGATCACACACAATGATTGCATTTGAATTAAATTGGGAGAGTGATGATTTAAATTAGACATAAATCACATGCTAGGTAATTAACTTCTACAAACTTAATTAAAACAGTTTAATTAAGTTTTAGGCATAATTATAAATAGTAATAATTATAAGGCCTTGATTGCAAGATATAAAGAAAATTGATTTTAATTTTAATTTCTTAGGACTTAATTAAAAGAGTTTAATTAAGTATTGAACCTAATATTATATTGTGTTATAATATTAAGGGCTTAATTGTAAAATTGAAGTTATTTTAACCTAACCATATATGTCACCTTATAGCTATTTTCCATATGGGAGTTTTTCACAATTGGTGAAAACCTAATTTTTGTTAGAAAAAGAAAAACGTTTTCTCTCTTTGCCACCACTCCCTTTGTGTGAAAGAGAAAATTGCTTATGAAGCAATTTTCAAGAAAGGTTTAGCTAAGATTGTGAAAAAAAAAAAGAAAAAGACAATTGTTGTCCTCTTTGCTAGCACAAAGTATAGTTAAAAACTCCTTCCTTTGTTAAAGGTTCAGGTGCAACCGTGTGTACTACCGTTGGAGGCCAAGCACTTGATTGGCTAGGGTTTTTTCTTCTTGTGATGTTCGCAGGATTGCTTCAGGAAGTGTCATTGTGTTTATGAAATTACTTGGCAAGGTAACTTTCTGAATAATAATTTATTTTGTGCTTTTACATGTTAAATATCATCAAGGTGGTCCATAGGTGGAGGCATGTTTTGGTTGTTTAGTTATAAAACTTTAATTTTCTTTCCGCTACGCATTTTGAGCATGCGGTCCATAGCCAAACCCATCATAGACATATACCTATTAATCATACATAGTCACAATAGGTCCCGAACTTAGTGAACTTAACTTTGGTTAATTTTCTATTGACATATAGATAGTTAATGAAGCTATAAGAAATTATGTGATGACTCGATAGAGTATTATGCGTGCTCAAGGAACCTACAATAGCCTTGATCCTCATAAAAAGTCAGTAGTTAATTGATCTTTTATCCCAACAAAGCAATAGTTGAAACCATAGTCCTAGGCTTTAATTACATTTTTTTTTCATTATAATTTTAGTTTACAATTTTTAGATTAATTTAGAGTTTTTAGATTAAATTTCATTTCATTTTAACAACTTGTCTTCTTTTAATGCTTGGATAAAATTTAAGTTGTTATAATTTTAGTAATTACCAATAAATAGTAAACCAACTCCATGTGGAAATGATAACTCACTACTGTATTATTTGTTGAAGGCCATGTGCATTTGCATGACACCTTGCTAAAATTGATAAAAATGTTAAAGTAATTTGCCTTGATAAATTAGCAAGCAACACATTCCACTACATGGTGGCGACACTTAACGTGAGTGAGGCTGATGTGTCATTCACAAATGTATATAGCCTAGGTGGGATAGATGTACCACTTATTTATGACGCCTAGATGTTGGAGCCGAAACATGGGCCTAGACCTACTAGGCATTTTGCATTCATGATTATGCATATTGATTTTGCTGTTGTAATGCCTTTTATGAATGTTTCTTGTGTTTGTGATTTTTGATTGAGTTATAGATTAAACTCTAAAGTATACAATAGCCAATATGGGTTAATAGATAGAATAAGTCCCAAAGCATTAGCTGAGTTATAGATTTTAAAGAAAGAATAGCCACTTGAGTTTCATGGACTGAATATTGATAATTGATTTATATGAATTGAAAATGATTACTTGAGTTATATGGGTTGAAAAATGATCACTAAATGTTATGATTGGTTTTTCCTGGAGAATCTTGAATACATGAGCAGTTCACATGATTTATGAAAGATTGGATTAAACCACCCTTAACTTGAGTTATATGGTTATGTATCATTTCCCTTAAGGAGGATCCAATACCACAAGTAAGGTACAGTTTCCTTGTTTTTCCCAAAAGATTTTTTTTTTTTTTGTAAATGTTCAACTTGTTTAATGAGCTATGTAATTATGAAATGTCGATTTCATTGTGAAAAAAAGACTCATTTACGATATCTCTATTTTATAAGAATTTGAAAATGAAGAATGTTTATCTCAAGATCATGTTTACATTAATGATGTAATTTGTACAAAAGCTTTCCCTTTTGGTTTATCCCTTTCCTTTATTCACTTATAAAGTCTTTGTGACTCACATGTTAGTTTCCCTCTAGTTTTGTTGTAGATTAGTGATAGCCGTCAAGCCACCAGTGTCATGAAAGTCATGATCCATTCTTCTTTCTTGATAAGTGGTGTAATGGCCTTCTTGAAGCCTGGGAAGTCAAGTCATGTAGCGTTCGATGAGTCAGACTTTATTTATTGTTTTGTTATAATATTCTTGAATATTATTGTGATGATGTAGCCATGTTATTGCATTATGCTTGGTATGGATGTTATATATGCATATATGTGAATTGAACATGATGGCTTGAGAGCCCATGTGAGCACCACAAGTGTGCAAGTGAATGTTATACATATGGGCACACAGACCCACTTCTAATTATGAAATATTTGCTTATGAAAATTCTTATGGGCACATTAAATCATGAAATCCATAACAATGCAATTATTCATACGTTTACATGATGATGTAAATGTATGAGTTGAATTGATATATGATGAATAATGTTTATGATCAATGATGTTAGGCTTGCTTGGGTCTAGCGGGTTATACCCATCTAGATCCTTTCACCAATCACGATCCCTCTAGAAAATGGGATGTGACAAACATAGTGTGATAGTATGAAGGTGATTGCTTTTACTAAGGATCCCAAATAATATGGTAGAACTAAACATATTGATATGTGGAATAACTTTATTAAAGATTTAATTCTTTAAAAAAGAAGTGATCTTAAAACCCACTAGTCATATGTTTGCAAGTTAACTAAACCCATTGCAAAGGATGCCTATGTCACCCATGTCAAGTCTTTGGAACTTCATAGATGGTGATTGTTTTATTTGATCATTTGGAACCTTTGGTAGATTACTAAAACGTATACAACTTTTATTTCATTATTGTTGCGTTTATGTTTATATATTATTTAAAACATGAGATATAAAAGTATGTCTATACATGAGATATAAAGCAATCGCAGATGGCATCTGTGACGGCGAGCAAAGATGAGACAAACTATTAGAGCTTTTAGATAGCGAATAGAGTTTGGAATGTCTCCTTGGTTGGATCCAAGATGAGATCCATATGATAATAACTTAGGGATTGATAATGGACAAACCCATAATCCATGACTCCTATAGAGGAAGCTAGATGTGAGGCTTAATTTTGATGTTTGTGTGACTTATGACTACTTCATAAGGTGAGGAATGAATGTCTAATACTCTTTTATGTTACCTAAGACCATGGGTGATTTGGTTACATGGTATATTACTAGGAAAGTAGTCTTTTTCTAAACTAAGTGCCATGTGAGTGAAGGGAAGACCATTTGATATTGTATCAATGCACTATATTCAAGGTCGACCCATTATGCCACTTTTGAGAGCTATGACATAATTGTGACTATGAGTTGCAACATGAAACAAGATTGGAGTATGCTCAATGAAGGATTTGAGATACTAGTTTGATGTGATCAAATAAGTCCAGTATATATGTTCTAAATGTTGATGTCTCTATGATGGCTTTGACGAGTTCCTATTATAGAGCTTCCAAATTCAAGTGTAGTCAATGGCCAAACAATCCATTAAATAGTATGAACTTGGCAATGGGATGGTTTAAGAGAGTGTTAAGATGTCTTCACCACTACGTGTGAGAGGAAGAAGTTGGACTGAATGCAATAACACCCATGATAGTCATCTTATTTGTATAGGACTATGCTTTATCCTTTAATTTTGGTAGATTAAGGATAATTATATGATAATTATTTAGAGTTTTAAACTTACCAAACTAGCGGATAAAAAGGATCTATAAAAATTCTAGAGGTCTTTTTAGCAAAATAACACTTATAGTTAGTCAAAAAATTTAAGGTGGAAACCAAACCCTTTCCAGAGAAAAACCATTATTGTTAGGTTTTGGTTCTTATACTATGAAAAGCGTGACTACTACTTGATTTTGTAGTCATTTTCCATCTCAAACTTTTAGAGATCAACAAGCTCGTAAAATGTCCCAAATGAAAATCTCGAAGTCACTTTATATTAGTTTTTAGAAGGTAAAAAAGTGGTACAAGTTTGATTAGAATAAGTTAAATCACAAATTTTTTTAATACCTTTTTTTTATAGAACATGAAAACCATTGTTCATTATCTTAGTTAACTGCAAAATAGTTTGAAGTTAGTAATGCTCTTTGTAAGCCTTCGCATAATGCATTCTTCCAATTAACATATATGCTTTTGATAAAACTCTTCTCAGAATTAGTTGCAGGCTGCAATTTTATCTTCTTTTTTTTTTTTTTTTTTTTTTTTTTTTTGGTTTTGGATTTCTCCGTTTGTTACTGTTAATCACACAAATCAGATTAATGTTGTTATTGCTTGCATTTACTAAAACTGTAAGTGTGCAAGTACAGTTAAAGTTGCTAATCCTAATCAATCCACGTTAGCAAAAAAGCTATAAGTATTGGCATCAAGAACTATTTGCCGTATCGAGGAAATCGCCCCCAGCACTCCTAAAACAGAAAAGATTGTGGCAATCAATGTGTTCACCCAAAACAGAATCCCCTGCTTGGAGGGCTTGAAAGTAACATTGTAGAAGACCATTGGTAAAACAAAATCAAGGGGTATGCATCCAAATGCCCCAATTACGGCATTGATGTCTCCAAAGAAAGGGAACATTGCAGCAAGAGTTGTTGCTATGACCACAGATAATGACCTGTAAGCCAGCCTTGGTACAACATTCCGGATGGAGAATTGATCAAGCTTTGCATCTACAAACTTGCGCTCAAGCGCTTCATTCGTTGGTTGCAGATAAACCTGCAAGGAGCAATGCAAATTAGCAGATCGATGATTGAGTGTAGACTATTTGCAGCTTTTACAAAATGCTGGATTCTGGTCACTTCTATTGATACACACCTATTTGTGTTTGTTAAATTAAATTATTTATTTTAGTTTTAATACGCACAGCATTTTCTTATTCATTTAAGGATATTATAACAAATTTTATTAATAGAGAAATATTATAAATAGATGCATAATAAATAGGAATTTCAATTTGTTACAGGATGATTAAATGTATACTAAAAAGATATATTGAAGTGCCTAATTTAACTTTTATACACAATAAATATCTGTATTAAGAATTAAAACAAAAATTCTTGACTAGAAGGAAAATTATATTTAAATCAACCTTGACTGTGTTGTATTTTATATTAAAATTTTAATTTTCCTGTAAGAGAACTTGATTTTTTATGAATGCCAAAAAGGAAAAAACTATAAAAACTAATTTTCAAATATAGGAAAAGAAAGAGTTTTAAGTGTTCATAAAAAACCCCATAATTTTGGGATATCCCCCAAAAAAAGAAGGAAAATGGGATGAACAGAGTATTAGATTAACACAAGTAGTTCAAACATTGAACTTTAATTTTGTTTACTACAATGACACCTCAGCAAAATATATTTGCAATAGAAATTAAATAAAATTTTAAATTAGTTTTCAGGGCAGTTAATCATTCATCATTATTTCCAAGTACAATTTGATATAATTTTTTTAAAATGTTGAATTTGAATCTAGTTTGATTTTGATACAAGATTCAATACCCATGTTAGGCATTAAAAGCAAAACTTATATAGAAGAATAAAATGAAGAATTTTTATATAATTTCTTACATAAATAAACCTAAAAAGGAAATATATAACATTGAAAAGAAAGCCAAAAGGGAAACTGGTGAAAATGGTGAGTGTAAGCTATGCTGAAACACAAAATACAAAAATTAAAAATCAAAATCCAAACCACTAATACATAAAATCTCAATAAACTCTAATCTTATTGAATTGTTTATGTAAGAAAACTAGTTTGTCTAAAAAGGAAATGATAAGTCTTACCACAGCAACAGCTGCCACTTGCAGGAGGGTGAAAACATTGGTCATCAAGAGAACCCAAGTAGGCAACAAAAGCGTTCCATCAACCATAAAATTAGCTAGGACTGTTGTTCCTGCCGCCTGGTTGCCAAATGCCCAATACCCCGATATAGCAACACTGATAAAGGTCGTCAATACAACAGCATAGCACACACACAATCCTTTAAACATTTTCCCCTTCACTGGAGGTGCTATCGTTGCCTGCAAAGTTTATTGATTATGGAATTTTCTTCTCTAAAAGCCATGAATAATTATAAATAATTGAGTTGATCAGAGATTATTTCTTCCAATCAGAATAAAAGTAGTAAAGAAATAAAGGGGACCTGTATTTCAGGAATGATACCATTCCCGTAGGTGGTTGCGATGATTGAGATAGCAGTGAAGGATTCAAAGACGCGATTCTGACCACTTCCTTTTACAGAATAGTCCTTGGCAGGTGCATTCTTAGAATTTCCTGAGAATGAGTCACTCTTAGTTGTAGAGGATGCTTTGGATGAAGTACTTCCAGTGATTCAATTGCTGAGTGAGTTCTTACCAACATAAATGGAACCAGCAGTGGCACAAGCAGTATACGAAAGACAAAGGACTAGAGAGATCATGTTGATATGCCTCAGGGAGTGAAAGGATGGGATTTGGGCCAGGATTAGCATCAGGATACCAAAGATGATAACAAACTGGTACAGTTGCATGCTCTCCTTTGAGCTAGATAGCCGATAAATGTACTGCCAAAAATAGTGAGAAAATATCTCTATTCAGCACAGCATACAAGATTCATCTGGTTCTTGTTGATTTCTCTTTCAGTTTAGCACTAGATTGATAAAAGTAAAGAAGTTGAGAAATAAAAATATCTGGAGACAAACAGAGTCATGTCCTCCCTAAGGGTTAATCAGAAAAAGAAAATAGCAAACCCAAGAAGACGTAACAGCCAACAATACGAACTAACAGGTTTTGATTAACATAGGGAAGCGACAATGAATGGATTATACTCCAGATGTTTATAGCAAAAACAGAAGCTTTAGGACTTATCTGAATGTCCTGCAGAAATTTATTTATTTATTTTAAATAATTGCCCTGCTGAAAAACTGTTTACTCTTTGACAGCACAAGGAGTCTTTGCAGGCAATGGAAATAAATCAACAATCAAAGAACAGAAGAAGATCTCCCTCCAAATATGAGATTCGTTTGAAGGCCTTTATTGCCAGGAAATAAAAACTGACCTTCAGGCTCTGTCCTCCAAGCAGGACACAAGCAATGACTGCACCATAGCATAAGCCAAATTGGATTGGACCAACAAAGTATCTGCCCCAACGTGGTCCTGTCAATACAGCCATTAATCGATCCATATGTACCTTAATAGTTGCCAGGACATCTAATCGTAAAAGATTTTCCTTCAGTAAATTCTGATCAAGAAGTCCTCAAAATATTGTAGACAAAATTAATGTTATATAAAAAATTGCAGAAGCAAATTAAGCTATGAGCCACTGAGCATACTAGTATTCAACCAACCTAATATATCTCTTGCCATATCCCGAAACCGAAGCTGACGCTGTCCAAGCTGCGCATGGTACTCTAAAACCAATGACAAAAGATTATAGGCGTAGAATGTGACGAGAGCTGCCACTGTCAGGCATAAAACACCAGCAAACCAGCCCATCAAGGATAGAGCATATGGAAGACTAAGAAGTGCTGGAGCTACAATTGATGTTGTCAAGTGGTATCCACAATGTAACCATGATCCTACACCATTTTATAAGCACCTCAATACATAACTAAAGGAAGGTATTCAAACCAATCAATTAATGGGTTTTCCTTACCTCTAGATTTAAGCACAAACAGTGCTCCAGCATCAAGCTTTTCTGGAGGGTTGGATTGTCCTTCCATTTCTCTTTGAGATACATTCGTGGAAGGTGGAAGAAGGGTTCCCATTGCTCTGTTTCCTATGTTTATTTCTCCAAAACCTCCTATTAAATAGACCAGGCGGATTCGGGATTCCATGGATGCTGATGATAGGATCTGTTTTGTTTTATTTTGTTTAATTTCCTGAAAGATTACTTTTATATCAATGAATCGACATTTTGCATTTGGCAAATAATAAGGAGAGAATAAGAAAGCAGCCTCATCCGGCTGGAAGTCAAGCGGCCACTTCAAATGGGAAAGATTTAACGTCATGCAACACTTCCATTAAAATAAAGGTTAATTGGCTTGGACTACTAGCAGATAAATGCTTCATAAAAGACAAAAGCCATTTTGTCCAGCCCAGGCTTGCTACGGTGAAAGGAAATAAATAAATAAATAAATACATATTAGAATAATAAGAGTCACAGTCCAAGGCACACATAATACATAGGTCAAATTTGCATGCCCATCTATCATCAGGATCTATAAAAGGAGATGTACATTTAAAATGTACTTTTCAAGATCATGCCAAACTAAGGACTCTTAAAAGTCAGGTCGAAAGTTGGTGAACAGGTTTTAAGTAGGCAGAAAGTTCAATGTTACCATTTCAACCTACTTTCTATAAGAATTACAATCTAGATTTAAAACGGCCAAGAGGAATGAGGGAAAATGGTCATTCAAAAGGTGCATTGCATTTCCTACCCCTAGACGTTCATGAGTTGTTCAGAGGGAACCTGGAAAACTAAACATTCTTAAACCCAGAGCTAACCTTTCTCACCACAGTATCTAAATTGTTCTGTCAATGATATTCTTAATACCTTCACTGTTGCGAGAGAGGGCTTCCTGTCACTGGGACCCTGTTTCATACTTGAATTTCCATCACTCTCTCACTCCCATTATAATTAAATCGAAGGCATAACCATACTGATAATGTTGTCTTGCCATTACTTCTCCAATCCATGAGAACCTCAGAGCACTTGAAAGTTATTTTCTACCTACAGCTTTTGCAATTATCCAGATCAAATTGATTGATAACTTTGCCATACAACATACAGTAGTTGACCTTTGTCAACCCGTACACTAAACGATATCAATGGACTTGCATGATTATTCTCTTAATGGATGATTATGTCTCTTATCAATTACTTCATGATTGTTTGTTAATTGTAATTAGATGAACAGAATCTTGAGAACTTTATGTGCCTTGATGCGTATAGATTAGAACCCTACACTGTCTTTAAGGTAATTATACCTCTATTATGTTGTAGTATTGAACAAAAGCACCCAGAAAACTACAGAGAACTAAACTGGATTTTCTCTTAAAGTTTCAGAGTAAAAGAAGTTTGATTTAGAAAAAGGCAGAGAAAGAACAATTTCTTTTTCTTGAATGAATTGAGTTTAATTAACTTTCAATGTCTATTCATAGATAAGTTCATAATTATTCATCAAAGGTCACCACTATTCACCAAAAGATCATCATTATTTATCAAATGTTACCACGTTTGAGTTTTAATCTAATAAGCACCTTTTCCTATTAGTGTCCCTCCAAATAGTTTCCAAAAGCAGTTTGTTTTGTACTAATGGATAGTTATCCTCTCACCCTTTAACTTACAATATAATAGGTCTAATTTTTCCAACAATCCCCCACTTAGATTGTAATATTAAAGAAAATAAAGCATTAAGAATATTATACATAAAAAAAATGTCTTTCGACTTGAATCTTCTTGTAATGTAAGTAACTTAGAGGTTTAATGAAATATATGGTGCCTTAATCAAATAAACCATTATTCTCATTATCAAAATCGAAATTACTATAAACATAATATTATCCAATTTCATTAAAAATTCACCGATAATTTTAGCACTTATAAGGTCATGTGCTACATCTTAGTATTTCATGAATATTGCTAAAGTTGACCCCTTTATTTATGTTAGAAACGGTACAATTCCATATTCATATAGGTAAGGTTCCTTTTAAGTCTTTGTTAATTTGAGACACTGCTTGTAATTGAATCTTATTAAAAGTATAACACACATCCTCCAATATATATATTTTTTAACACTTAAAAATAAGATTGAAATCCTAGTACTTCTTCCACAACCATTTATCAATACTTGTTTTTATTCATTGAACTCTTTAACGGTGGCAATCCTAGATAAAAGGTTTGGTTTCCATCATTGGGAACTCTAGGCAAGGGGTCTTAGGCCCATCTCATATGGTATCTTTTTCATCATGTCTCTAGTGACTCATTTACGAAAGGGATCCACCAAATTATATTGTGTTCTTTTTTTTTATTAAGCAATTTTGTGGTCTTAATTACATACATAACTATGTATAGTTAGTCCATCAACAATTGTTGTTGATTTAGTACATACAAATATATGTATCGAACAAGTAATATAGATAGTAAGTTCAAAATCATATCCCACAGAGATTTGCTTCTAATTGTTTACTAAGTATTAAAATTATAACACATCAATCTTATTCAAGTAACTCGATTTTGTAGACAATCAATTAAAACTAATTTTAATCAGAAACTAACTAATGGAAACTAAAAGTTCACTAGAAAAAGGCAATAGATTAAAACTTAGGATTATGGGTTCATTCAACATTTCATATAACATAAATTTCTCTCAATATTAACATTCATGGGTAGTTTTGCTAACCTAGAATCCAAACCTATGCACAAGTCTCGATCGAGATGCTTACACAAATACCTAACTTAATTGGGTCACTATATATCTATGGTAATCAATTAAAAAAGGTTCATTAAGCTATTGCTTTAATTTGGTTATATATGGCACTTAGGTGTATGTCTACACTAATTGCGAATCAAATCACCTAAGTGACTTGAATATACACTATTCAAACCTTAGACCAATATAAAATCACTTTGTCGAGTTTTATTTAAATTTACAAATCATTCAATTATTGGCCAAACGATCAAAAGCATTATTAACAGATTTGAACAAACAAAACCATACCCATTCATAATAACTAAAAGAGAAACAAATTTTCAAACTGCATATTGAAATCCACCAAAATCCTAAAAAAATAGTTTATCTCATAATATCTAATACAAATATCATATAAAGAAAAGTAGCTATTAATCCAAGTTAAAGAAAATAAGAGAAACTAATAGTTGAAGCTTTTGATCTCAATTCTCTCTCAAATTCTTTTGCTTTCTTGCTTTGTTTTTTAATTATTTTCTCTAAAATTGTTGCTTGTCGTCTTCTCTTAAAAACATCTAAAAAAAGGTTTTTTAAATAGGCTTTAAAATGCCTAATTTCCAAATTCCCACAACAAAATTTACTTTTGGAAATATGTCTAGAATCACAAGGAGCCCTAGCCTCGGGATGGAGTATAGTGCACATCAACTTTGTGGCACCACGACGACACTTTCCTCAGCCCTGCGGCACACGGTGCACTACTTTCTAGACCAAGTATGAGCTATTTCCATTCATCAACATTGCAGCCTTGCTCTTCTCCATGCTATAGCACTCTACTCTTTGGATTTAGTATGAGGCACTAGTGCATCAAGGCATTGCAGCCTTGAGCAACTCAAGGTTGCGGCCTTCATTCCTTTGTGCTACCTTGTGCAGAGCTATAGCAATCCATCCTTTTCCAATGCAATTTTCACCTCAATCTGATCTGAACTAGGCAAAGTAGTAAATATGAAAGTTGTAGCCCTATCTCCTCACTTTCCAATGGTTTAAGAATTAAGTAAATTGGATTTTAATATCTCAATTTATCCTTGAAATATTGCAGCATATACGAATGAAGTCATCATTATATTTGCATGGATTTTCATCGAATAACCCTTTCTCATCGAGTTTCTTACAAGAACAATAAGAGAAATTAGTAATAACTATACTTAAGGTAATTTAAAACCAAATAAAATAAAATTATCTAAAAATACTTAGATTAAACTAATTAACATGTAATCAAACTTAACTAAGAAGAACACCTAAAATACTAAAATCCAAATCTAAAATCTCAAAGCCCTAGTTACTTAAGTCCCCAAAATGTGCCAAAATAACTCTATATAGTAGAGTTATCACACTCCTAAAATTAAGATTTTGCTAGTGCTTGAGCAAAATATCAACTAAAATGCAGTAACTTAAATGAAGAAAACAACTTAACTAGAAATAAATTGCAACAACTCAACAATCACCTTTAATATCCTCCTAAGTTAAACCATATTCTAAACTTTAAGCAACATATAAATATTATTCAAGTTCATGTTTCAATTCAAATGCAAGCTCACTGTCAAATGGATTTTCGTGTGTGTGTGTTCAATCTCTTCACCTAAAACATTATACAATCCGTATAAGTTTATAGGCATGCAAAATTCAAATTAGTATTGAAATTCTATAAGTTTGCTTTTCATATCTCTTTACTAATGTAGACTAATATTAAATTAAGGGTTATTAAGTCTTTATCAAGCTTGTAATGTATGGCTAAGGTCAAGGTAGGATATGGAATATTGTTTATCTTAAATCACCCTAAGCACATAGCAATTCTAAGACCTTTTTAGAACTTAAGTTTCCTTCACCAAGTACACCCCTCTTTCATCAAAATTTTCCTTTGTTTGAAACTTCATTCTTTTTTCCCCTTTTCTTTTTCTTTTTCTCTATATTACACCCCTAAACTTTTTTTTTTTTTGGATAGCGAGATGAATACAATCATACTTTTGATCTTTTGACCTTTACTACTTTTTTTTCACTATCTAGTTTATTACACTTCCTAAATTGACTTATGCAATTTGGAATAAGGGATGTAAAAAGTGAAAATTTTATGTAAGGGTCTACGTTACTAATTAAGTGTTTAAACAAATAAAAGATTACATTAGGCTCAAGGGCAATTCTAACGCAGAAGCATCTAGGATTGTATTTTATTTAATTTAGTTTTTTTTGTTTTGCTAATTTTCGTTGATTTAGGAATTATACGTATAATAGAATTCTTCCTTTACTTGTATTAGGACTTTAAGCTAGTCATGTTCTATTTAAGAATAGAACACCTATTTTAT